ACGGTATATACGTCTTATAAACCATATATATATAATACACATATGACAAATGTCAGAAATAACGCATAAAAATCAAACTCAAAAAATAGTTATTATTTCTGACATTTCTCATATGTGTATTATATATATATGGTTTATAAGACGTATATACTATCTGTCATTGCGGTGACAGGTTGTGTTCACTGACAACACGTTAAATAAAAATAACAATAGCGTGCGCGTAGCGCGCGCCTGTGTTGTGCTAGTATATATAAATTGGACAAGGTTTTATTTCATTAAATATATTATTCTAGAACACAATTTCTAAAAAGATAGAATTTTATCGTATAATAGTTTCTTAAAAAATAAAAGACTCAACTTTCTCATTTTTTAAATAAATAAAATTAAGATAATAATTTAAGAATTTATATTATTTTACAATATATTATAATTTATATTATAATTTATAGTTTTATTATACTTTATATTTTTTATACAAAAACAATTTTTATTATGACTAGCAAAAATTGTTGAATCTACTGAATATTTGTTTCATCAACAAAACGTTTTGTTGGCAATGCAAAAATCTCAATAAACTTAGCCAATTTTTCTTTCTGGCCATAGAGTAACAAATTTCTTACTAGTCTAACAAATTTTTTTCTTGTGTATCTTTAGCAATTAGTCTAAATCTATTTTTGAAAATTAAACGTGTACGTATTTTAAGACAAACGTATGTAGTTTTAAAACAATGTGTAGTGATTAATTTTGCGACATCTCGCAAAATTGTGAAACTTGTGTCAAACCACTTCAAGAAGAGAAGCCTCTTTCACCACTCTAGACCCTCGTCGTTCCGTGAACGAAGCGTTTTCTCCAGCTGTTGTCTTCACAGTAGCTATGTTGCGCGATCTCGCGCGCGTGTTCATTTCCTCCTCGTGCACAAACGTCCGCGCGAGCGCAAGATCGGTCCAGATCCGTGCCGCGAATCCACCCCTTCCGGGACCTCTTCGCTCTCTTTCTCTCTTTCTCTCTCCCTCTCTCTCTCTTTCTCTCTCTGGCAGGCTTTCGCCGCGCCCGTCATTGCGCGCTCGGTGGCGCCACCGAGTGACCGAGCTACCCGCGAGCGCAACCCCCGTTGTCGCGACGACGGGTCGCGATTCTGATGCACACCTTCAGTCGTGGGTGTAGTGCGTGCGAGTGTGCAGCGTTTCCGAGAGCTGCTGCGAAAAACCGGCGTGGCTTTGGAGTGCGCGCGAGGTTAGGTCAGTGTTAATTCTCTTTCATCGTAAAGAACCGTCATCACTTAGAAACAACAGTATCCGAAAAATTTTATCTTTCTGATAGGAATTGTTGTGTTTCCCCTTCGCATGTCTTTGTGTTGCGTGATTTCCAGCAGGCATTTTGCATATATCTCATTGTGTTTACGGGGTGTTTTACACGAAGAAATGTGCATTTCGGGAGATTTTGAATATAATTTAAGCTTTTTTTGTATTTTTAAAAGTTAAAATGTAAAATAAATATAAAAAATACAGTTATGTATACGTAGAATAGAAAGTTTGGTGTGGGAACATTTGCGACACAAATTTATGTAAAACAGAGATAAAAAAATCTTTTATTTTTAATTACACGCAAAATAAACTCAGTGTAAGTTGTATAAAATGACAAAATAATCAAACATTTCTTTATTTTATGTAAATCTAAAATCTTATATTATCGTAATTGCAAAAAAGGTACAAAATGTTTTGGACACAAATTTCATAATTTTGTGCCAACAATTAGGAAATTTTAGCGCAATTGTTTTCATTTCCGCGAAATCAATTTGCAATTGACTGTGTTGATATTTTGTATAATATTTATAAAATCGAAAAACTTCAAAATATTATTTACTAAATTATATAATCGTGGAAAGTACGAGTTTGCAAATAGGAACAGTAACGAATAGTGCTTTAAAACTTATTCTCGTGAATCCAAACGCGCGTAAGATATAATCACGAGTAATTAGAACGAAGTTGCGGGAATGGTTCATGCTTTCCCGACAGCTGCTGCGCTAATTTGAATTCGCATAAACTTTAATGTCAGAAAAGAAGAATAAGAAATAAAGATATATATGTACGCACACACATCTCTCCAGCGACGAGATGTGAGCGATTTACGATTTTTGCGACAGTCCAAAACCAAATGATCTAATCCGTGAGTTTGGCAAATGCCAAAGCGTTTCCCCGTCGATTGGACACGCGATGTCGCGTGGCGATCTTTTTTTTATTATTATTTCTCGCTCTACCGTATCTTTCTCGCGCCGGATTCAATATCCCGTATCGTACAAAATCTTCCCCATTGTATCCGTTCGAAACTTTTACCCGGTATCCAAGTTGGAATTGCCCCGAGATTTTTATTGAAGTTTAATAAACGTTCTAATCTCGAATATCATTCATGGAGAAAATCTTCGATAACTCCGATCTCTTTCCGATTATAGAATAGTATTGAAGATAAGCAATTTAATCCGCCGTTTTATCCCGTCGCAATCGTTTCTCTTACTGTTTTATGAGATGTGTTGTATTTTGTCTGAAAAAGTATAAATAGATTATTTTTATTCTTTTTATAAAAATATAAAAAATATAAGAAGTTATTTTAATCTAAATATAAAAATATAAAATATAAAAATAAGTAAGATTATCTTATTCTTTTTATAAAAATATAATAGATCTTTCAAAATTAGATTAATAATAAGATAATAATTATCTTAGACATTTAATGATTCGATTGTACCAGAAATAGTCTCAAAAAGAGATATTTATTACCTCGATTTGTAATTTGCGGTGTGTGTGTGTTTTGCGAGTTTGGATAAATTGATCTAATCGATCAGGATTTGGTTTAAATTTTCATTCTCAGTAGCAAGGTAGTGCATACGGTACATTCTGGGTCTTCTCAATTATGCGCCCGAATCGAATGCTCCGATGTGCGATACCGTGCAATTCTTTTCAGTTGAGGACTAATGGATTGTCAAGAATAGAAACTTCACGTGGTGTATTGGCGCGATCGTTGGCTCGGCACAGTCGATCAAATGTTTCAATTCTATTTTTACTCTTTCCGCCGAAGCTAAAACAGTTTTGGAAATGGACGTTGCTGAAACAACGTGTTAGTTCTATAGATGATCGCTTTTTAATCTGCGAGATATAGCGCGTAAAATATCCACGGATATATCATAATTATATCAATGATAGCACACACACAACTAGAGCTGTTACTTATCAATAATCTTATTATTGTACTTATAACGAGACACATCAACGTCTCGATAATTTTTTCGATTATAGTTCTAACGATGTCGAACACCTGCATATATACTATAAATGTAAATAGACGCAAGAAAAATTGTTTTCTGGTTCAGTCATTAATCCTACAGCCGATATTGACTGCCAACCGAGTTCATTGTCTCGATTTCCATCGAATTCGCTCGCGGAAGCGGTCCTTACTCGTAGGCGCTCGAGCGATCACAAAGAACGCTATAAAGTAATTTGCTTTTCCGATAGAAAAATAGAGAAGTGGGAGAGGAAAGGAGAGAAGAGATGAGTGTAGAACGGAAAGGATCGGACTTTAAATTGTGCTCAGCCGTGAAGCTGTTTGAAATCTATTTGAATTGGACGACTGAATTGCTTCATGCGCGAATTATGCACACTTTGAGATCAGCCAACGAACCTTCTCTCTCGTAATTGTGAAATAAGTTTCAATTCTGTTCCAGAATAGTATCTCTTGTATAATTTTTTTATGTAAAACTTATTCGTTCGTTAATTAAATTTCAGAAATGAGAAAATCAAAAATAAAAGAAAACGACAAAATCACGTATGTAGAAATATAAAAAAATCCGATGTTTTTTACAAAACTTTATAATAACTGCAGAGAATTACGTGCGTTGTCGACACTCAAGATAAATTTAATGCCGGTAGTATATTATTAATACTGAATAGCACTAGTCCTTAATGCGCTAACTTCACCCCTAAGCTTAAGACAAATTCTAGACTGATGACAACGTCGTGAGGTTGGTTCTCTTCGGCCCGCTAATTCGAAATAATATACCGTTGACCCAGTTAGTTAGCGCAACAGCAATTAGACATTCGCGCGATGGCAGACGAGGTGGGACCGGGTGATCGATCCTTCTCCGTCGCCGGGCGTATGTACTCGCGTAAATTCCCGTCGTTCATACCCGTACATCGGGCCGCCCGTGCGTCGACATCGACATGAGTTACAACCCTGAAGTCGCCCACCTGACAGAGCAGGAACTGCCTGTTCGATCATACAATGCGATTCAAATCTCCGAATCGCAATCGGATTCAGTAATCCACCCCGTTTTGTTCAGCTTATTTCACGTAAAAAGTAAAATCGAATTTGTGGTGGTACGTATTTAAAACGACAGATCAACTTTTTTGAATAGCTTTGATTTGTGATATTTTCGTTTCTCTCTGTTCAAAGAACAATGTGTGTGTGTGTGTGTGTGTGTGTAAAATTGATCGGTTTATAAATATATATTAAAATTCTTTGCGCCGAATGCACTTATTGTTCTATAGTTACGTCATCCGCAATGCGGAAATCTCGGCATTCTCGAGGTTGCCTGACCAAAGCATCAACGCTCGGGGTATCAATTTCCCATTTGCGCGAATATTGGTGATACAACGTTCTACTATCAGTGTCCGGATTCGCGAAAGGCAAGGCAAAATCCGTGCAGATAATCCTAATCGTCGAAACGATGCGCCGCTTTATCCGCTAATCCCGCGCGCCCTGGACGCTCACGACGATCGAATCAAATGACGTCGTATATCGTTCGGAATTTACAACCATGAGCGTCGCGCACCCGTGCAAAAGAGACGTAACGTTTGGAATAGGATTTCTTAACAAAAATTCAGTTGAACGAATCTAAACTACTATAACGTTTGCTTTTATCTCTTTTGTTGTTAATTAAAGACACATCTAAATTTTTGGGAAAAAATTGTTTTTACACACATTTTCAAAGTTTCTCATTATTTTATTATTGCAATTTTATAGTAGAATATCCAATTATATTCTTCTTTAACGATACGTTAACTGTGCATTCAATGCGCGCGCTGTATCACCGATTACGATCGAGCGTGGAAAAATCGCTAACGGGGTTTTCGTCGTAATTGTCGCAATTCCGTCAATATAACGTTTTCGTTTATGCGCGTAACAACGAGAGAAAAAAAAAGAGAGAGATAAAGTCGTTTTGTCTGAATCCGAAAGTGGTCGGTTAACTGGCTTAATTACGGTACTCGCACTGTGGAATCGCCGCGATGTAAATCGCATATTGACGCGGTTTGGCCACGGTTCTGTTCGTCGGAACTCCGTTAAATTCTCGCTCTCGAAATGCCCGCGCGATTTGCCAAGTGCGCGATCAATCCGATCCATGACGGCACGCAATTTGCAGCCGCGATTTAGCGCCGTAATGTGCGTCGAAAATCAACGGCTACGTTAATCGCGAACACTTCAACATCGTTACGCATCACGGGATTGTCCGGTGTCATTGTTTCCGGTTTACCGCTCGTAACGCCATAGTTGCATTCGGGGTGATTGTAATCACAGTTATGTCTTCTTTATCAGTAATTTATTCCGTGACACTCGTGAAACAGATGAATACTGTTTTTACGTATAAATATAAAGAAATAAAAACAAAAGATCTGAGAAGTTTTAGAAAAATACGTACCGGGTAAATGTCGCGCCGTTTATGTACGTGCTGAGCGACATCATTTTTATATTCAATGCGGTGAAATTTTTTGCACAGGATTTTCGGGGGTTGAAGAGAAAGAGAGAGAGAGAGAGAGAGAGAGAGAGATGGGAAAGAGAAAGGGTTGAACTCGTTACTTGTACCCATAAATCCGCCCGCGAAACCAACTTGTATCGCTTCCAGCTTCATGGTGCGCTATATGTCGAGAATTGCACGTACCGTAACGAAGTGTAGTCCCAGGCAAGGTGTAATACAACGATTCAACTTTCGCTATGTGTTACAGCGCATACACAGCGCGCCGGAAAATTTATGTATTTTCGGCTACAGTTCTATGGATTTTGTAGCAAAAATATAATGCAAGAAACCTTTTCCCATGTCCCTTAATTAAGTCCGAATTGAAACCTTCTCTAAAATACATTTGTGCGAGCGCAATAAACTGTGCAACTCGGCAAAACTTTCTAATTTGCGTTTGCCTTGTATTATCGACTGTAGGTTTTAATTAAATTTTAATTAAAGAATTGAGCAAGCAAACCGATTAAAGATGCGAATTGGAGGAATATATTGAGGATTTAAATTGAGTTTTACAAGAGAGAAAATTAATACTTTCGAGTACTGAGATATGATATACTCAATTAAATTTCTAGTAGATACACAAAAAACAATCTTTTATATTAATATAGATACTCTTTCAAGCGGTGTTTGTTTGTGCACAAAAAAAGAGAAAAAACTAGACATAGTCGCTGACCTTCATCTTCTCACCATTTAGATACGTGGTTTGTGCGACCGGAACGAGTGATACAAAAGGATCGGACACGCGTCGCTCATAGTGGAGTAATCAGGGGACCATGATGTCCCCCATAATCGGGGAAACGCTGCGTGTATGGTTCCTCTCGGCGCTCGTCGTTCACGCAGCCGTCGCCGGGAATCCGGACGCGAAGCGGCTCTACGACGATCTACTGTCCAACTACAACAAGCTCGTGCGCCCTGTGGTGAACACCTCGGACGTGCTGCGTGTATGCATCAAGCTTAAGCTGTCGCAACTCATCGATGTAGTAAGTGAAACTTTTATCTTTGTAAACGACATATTGCTGAAAAAAATCATCCGCTAAATCTGATCAGCTGTTTTGGAAACTCGTTGAGAAGATAATCACATGTTCATTTCACTGTTTACATGATAACGCGATGACATGATTGTGGGATTCGATAATGCGATAATTGGTATTGTTGAATATATGCATCTATATCTCGCTGATTATTGTGATCATTGTTACGACAATTAGTGGTACCGTTAATTAAGCAAAATGAGTTATTCCACGCATTGTATCACATATAAAAGATATATATCGTTTAAATACAAAGAGTAAGTATATGAAAATACAATTCTTGTTTTTGCTTTCTAAATAATATATATACGCGACTTTAAAATCGAATATCTCCGCGAAAAATCAATATTGTGTCAAGTTTTTTTTTTTTTTTTAATCAAAGGTTTGAACGATTTTGCGTCAATAAAAAAACAAATTGAAAAAATCTCTAGCAATTTTGAAAATATAAACGTTTTTTTTTTTGAAAAACAAAAATTAATTTTTACTAGAAATGCCAATGCGCTATTTTTGAATGGGTCTGGGAGACTCATGTCTGCAGGCGAAGGATTAATAATACATATCCGTTATATTGGCGAGGGTATTGCCAATTATTTGTTGTCAAAGTATATTTATGTAAAAGGTCTCTAAACTTTATTAATATTGCATAATTTCTAGAATAACTATATTTGCGCGACTATTGAAGAGCGTGTTATCAGCTGTTACATTGTTACAAAATCAATAGCTTGTGAGACCTTTCAAGACATTCCAGAATAGCTAATTTTAAAATTCAGGTTAAAATGCTCTTCCTCCAGTACTTAATTATCGTAGAAATTCAAATTGTTCTTTGAAAGAAAATGACACAAAACTTGAGTAATTGGAATAATTACTTAGTCAAACTTTGACAAAATTTCAGTTAGTATTATGGATTGTGCTTAGTAAAGTTAGGCTAACGATAAAGGATTTCAAAGGCGCCGTTTCAAACTTTAAGATACTTATTAGGCTACGTTATTGCGATAATTAGTAATTTGACATTAGCATATTTGATTCGAGACTTGCCGCTACGACGGAAAGATTTAACACAAAATAACTTGGAAAGAGGAGTGCAATTATAAGAACTTTTATAAAATATGCAGAAACAGCATGCAGCGTGGCATTAAGTTGATGACTCTATTAGTTTTAATTACCGAACGATTATGTGCGCGGTAAACGGAAAATCAAGGAATATCTTCTTGCTTGGTAACTTTGACACAAGTTAGTATCGTGCGTTTAACTCTCTCGCGTCTGCTTGGTGACGAAGCGCTCACTACCGACAACACCCGCACAAAATTAATGAGCTACGCTATTAAGTTTCACTTCGTTGAAACTCATTGAATTTCCGTCGTCGAATTACTGTTGGAAGAAATATTTTAATAGATATTACACGTCAAAATAAATGTTTACTTCGCCACAAAAGAAGGCTCGGAAATATTTTCGTTTATTGAAAAAAAAAACCACTATCGCAACGACGCGTGTGAATCGAAAAAACATTGCTGGCGGCTTTCTCAGATGCTTGTCCCAAAAAGAAGGCTTATTACATGTCACTGGATATTACGCGATAAAATAAATATTTACTTTGCCACAAAAGAAGACCTTGAACATCTCCGTTATTGAAAAACCACTAACATAACGACGCGTGCAAATAAAAAAAAAAAAAAACATTGCCGGCGATTTCCTCAGGCTAGTGTCCCAAAAAGTAACAGTCTTATTACATGTCAATACAAATTAAACGAGAGAACATATTCGCTTTTTTACAAAAAAAGCTCGGAATGTCTCTGTTTATTAAAAAACCATTATCACAATGACGAGAAAAAAAAAACAGCGATTTCCTCAGGCTGTTGTTTCAAAAGTAACAGTCTCATTACACATTACTAGATATTACACGATGAAATGTCTTTTCTTCCACTTTGACATAAAGGAAGATTATTTTCGGATTATTTTCGTTTATTAGAAATTGAAGAAACTACTTTCGCAACGAATCGTGTAAGTAGAAAAAACATTGCTAACGGTTTTCTCCTGGACTTTCGACCTGTGGGTTAATATTTTTAACTCAGATTTCATAGCGTAAATTTTTTACCAAAAAAGTTTATACAATAAACGTTTATTTAAAATTTTATTCTTAAATAGAAAAAGAGCACACACATTTTATTTGATGTTTTTTTCCTCAAAACTGATTAGTCAAAACGCACGCGAAAAGTATTAATCCTTTCACAATTCAATCGTTCAAATGTGTAAATCATTACAATCCATATGACGCGAGAGTTTATCGCGGCGTGCAGAAGCAAATATCGGACGATAAAAACATCGCGCGGGACAACTAAAACTTTTCGTGGACGAGCTGGCAGTGATAAAATTTGCAAATATAGAGGGTCATCAGGAATATATCCGACGTAACACCGGATGCATTCACTTCGTAATGCAGAATATCGTGATTTCAATCTTTCGCAAAAATGCACATATTATCTCTATTGTACCTCGCGGTGACAATTTTCAGAAATTTTCGACAACGATATTAACATTCGTACGCGAATCATCATAATCTGTATATTTTGTGGGAGCAAACTCGCAGTGACTGTGATGTGACTGACAAGAATGGACAACAATTTGAACAAGTTAATAATAAGATCTTGAAGTCAAGCCTGAGTTTGTAAATTCAATTTTAAATAAAATTATGCAAGAAAATATTTTTTATATATATTCAATACGTTTTGACTTTTATTTTTCATTTTATCTTCATTTGGATAATTAATTATATTAACAAAAATTCTAAAATAGAGATATTAAACCAAATAAGATGTTATTTATAAATCATTAACGCGTCTTATAAAATATTTGTAATGTATTGAACTATACAGAAAGTATATTTTCATAGCATAAGACCTCGCAATTGGTTTGCATCAGTCGTTATTTGTCTTGAACGATTGATAAATCATCGAAAATAAAAGATCTCTTATCAACTATATTAAAATATATTAGAGAGTACAGTGTAGCACGTAATTTTCGCATTTATCTCGTGGTATGAAGGAATTATCGTAAAATATTATATCACGAGAAATTACCATAATTTTACGAAACTTGATTAATATTCTACCACGGCGCAACGATGGAAATAGACAATTCACATTAGAGCAATGACGATGATAAGAGCTCGCGCTCGTTCGCAGGGAAAATTCACCAGGAATTTATTACTGATTAAAATACAAATTAGTTGAATTCTCGATCGATTTGCGTGACCTCGCGTAACTTATCGCTCGTTTTCTCGTGCTGAGAGAAGGGACGCAATTTTAGCGATACGCAAATGTGGATTCTCGGAAAGGGGTACGTTCTCGCTTCTACGAGCGAGCTTACGTACGGAGAAGCCGGGTATCGTCTCGTTCCGATGCTGGAAACTCAATAAATTCGTCAGTGGAACCTCTTTTCACTGACTTATCCTCCTTTTCTGGCAAATAGAGATCCGGTAATTATACGCGCACGTGTGTCACAGAAATTTCCACACGAAGTCATTCGGTCGTAATTATATTTCACAGACCTCGCGAGGATACGCGCGGCGCGTAATTACGTGGTAATTTACGTGACCGCCGGCATTGTAAAATACGAGGGACTCTTTCGCGCGTGTTCTGCTTCGCGCGCGAAAACTGCGAGCGTGGCTTTTCTTTCGAGGTTAAATTTTATGTAGTGTTATTATATGACGGCTACGAAATTTTGCATGCGTCATTTTGAATTATAGCGGACTTGATATTGTGTGTCTCGCGCGTGTTACTCACAAATTGCAATATCCAACGTGTATCGGAAATCGCTTAAACCATCGCAACTTGAAATCCATTAGTTCGAACTTCTTTGGGACATAGAGAAGAAAAATCGTTATATACATATACATATATATATATATCAACGATAATCACAAGATATAACAGAAATAATAAAAGTGACAGATTACGTTACCGCCATAAACATCGACATGTTCATCCCGTTTCTCCATTTACGCGAAGAAATCCGTTATTAATCAGCGATAGAAAGAACATTATCTTGTCAAGATTCTTCAACTTGCCATCGTTCTTCTGTCAGAAGGAAAGTTACTTTAACGTAACGGCGGCCATCAACGCGAGCGCAACCTCGTATATACCGGGCCTCGGAATCGATATTTCTCGCTATATCTCACGGAGTTGCTGATGGATGCTTTCGCGCCCGCGTTCGATCAGCGCCGCGGTTTCTTGCGTGATCAAAGCGCGATCACGCGAGTTCTCATTTTCCCCGAGATGGCGCGGTCTTTACGGGCGTCCGAGCGCATTGCCAATTTTCTTTACAAGGAAAGGAAGACCGCTGAAAGTTAGCGGAAGGTGGCGGAAAAATGGCGGAGACTAAAAGGAAGAAGAAAATAAACGTGGACGTCATTGTGTCCGATTTCATCGAGCTTAAGAGACATATCCATCAGCATTGCCAGATCCACATAACCATTTCTAACCGACATTCTCGAGAAATTCCTCTTCTGCTTTTATAGAGACTCGTGAAAGTTTCATTCTACGTCGGTAGAGCGTCTTCTCGAGACGTGGCGAAAAATTTCTCCATTTGTATCAAATGAAGCGTCGAGCGAGTGTAAAAAGATACATCACGTTCTTGCGGAAAAGTCTTTCTCGCGAATAATTTGTTTATTTTTTGCTGTATATATTTACTGTACGTGTCTGCGTATGTAAACGTTTGGTCTTAGATAAAATTCAAGATAATTATTCATTTATTTAAACTTGCCAACCATGTTAGCAAATATATTGGACGTAACGTAACGAGCTCGCTCGTACGTGTCAATATTTTGGTCTTAATTTTAAGACATAAATAAAGCGTCCAATATTTTATCATTTTTTCACAATTCCGGAGCATCTAATTTAAGCTCACGTTCTGAGAATCTAATAATTCAAAGACGTAATTTTGCGGAGATTTAA